ATAATGAACAAAACACACACACACACACAATGCATTTACACTTCACTGTTTATGTGAAGAGTACAAACTACTCGTGTATAGTAACGGGAACGGGCCAGGTACCGCAGACGAATCGGGCGCCGGCTCCGGCCTGGGGGTGACAGGTGAGGCCATCTGTCACCCTAGCAGAAGCAGGCCGAGGTGGCGGCGAGATGCATTGCCGAACGCGCGTGCTCTTTTGGGAGCACCTAGGGAACATGGGGGTTCCCACCAAGGAGGGGGTCATCTACCCGCCGTAGATGACCCGAGGTACGTCGGGGTACCAGGGATTTCCTTTCTAGGGTTCCCCGGCTATTGGTACCTGAGACGCCGTGCTGTTTTAAGTTTGTTCGAGTCCGACATAGGCACCGGTAGGTGAAAAAAAAAAATAGGAGATCCGATTTTCCACCCCGTCAACAAAAAAAAAAGGTATGGTATGTGTAAACACCTAACTCTGACTGTAATGTTATTAAATCGTATTGTAACCGAAAATTGAATCGGTAATAAAAAAGTAGAGTATTATTAGGACTAGCTGAGTCCTAATAATACTCTACTTTTTTACTATTGAAATGCATTGTCTACATACTTTATGACAGTTGCAAGATCGAGAGTTGATCGTAAACTGAATTTTGACCGACCTTTTATTACGAAAGTGGTCTTCAGATTGTTTCAAATGTACGTCATATGAAATGATCGTCCGATTACGTTTAAATATTTGTAGATAAAAACTGAAAGTATATTGTAACATTATATGTATATGTTTCAAAAATGATACTTTATTCTTATAACGTGTAAAATTAGTGAAATTCTCATATGTTTTACTTCAACAATTGTGCGATTTTAATCTCATTAATCTGCCTGTCAATATCTGTGAAGTTAACAGCGTTCAAGGCATCCATTAAGTACATTAAATTAGTAAAAGAAAGGTGTCCATGGACGGCGATGGCTACTAATCATCAAGTGACACGTCGGCTATTCGCCCCCCTTTACCGTGAAAAAAAAAAACAGAAAGGTAATTTTACTACTTACGTAGCACTTTTAAATGTTTTCTTTTTTTTTATAACAGAGTAATATCGATTAGCAGGTTTCCTAATTAATGTCTTAGGAACAATCTTCTCTATCACCAATACCTTAATTATTATTTCCCTTCCCCAACACTAATCAGATATAAAGAACCTAAAGCCTGCAGTAAAATTTAATTACTAGTAGAATTTATTACTAGACTTTGTTTTATTTGGGACATAAAACCAATTTGCTTTTTGCATTCGTCACCATCTCTGTCTGTTAGTACAATCTTCCTATAGCAATGTCTCTTTCTCTCGCGTTTCATCTTCCCCTATAATATTTGGTAATAGTCTATAATAGTAAAATAACCGTAATTTAAAAACCTTAATTTAGAAATTAGATTATGAAGCTTTAATGATATCTTTTATCATCTCATTCGGGTATTTTGTTCGAGAATGTTCATCGGCTTGTTTTACTGCAGGATTTTTGAACATACAATTATCAACATCAACATAACCTTGAACATGAATAACTGCATTAAAGGTTATTTATCATGGAGTTTACCTCCATTCGGTAAAAAAGACAGCTCCTGCGGTGTGGCGTACCATCCCATGGGACTACACGATCATAAAATTCACGAATACAAAGCACACCCCAGACTCAGAACAACCATTTATGGGTCACACAAATATTTATTCCCTCCGGAAATCGAAACCGCCCCACTTGCTTACAATAGTGAGTTGTGCATTTTTTTCTACAAAAGAGTCATCCGTTTATCTTGGAAATTTTCCTTTTTATTTTCTTACATTAAATTGAGGTTGTCTTTTCTTGTCCTTGATTATTTAACTGTAATTCATCTTATTAATTAACAATTGGCCTACGTCCGACAGTAAACTTATTTTGATGAATGTAAGATTGTAGCTTTCACAGTAAAATTAGTATACATAGAATATATATATTGCCGTTTTATTTAACAAAACCGTTACACGCACAATAAAAAGTTCAAAATGATAATTCCTGTTTCGAAGTCGGATAAAAAGATTTAGACTTTAGACTACTACGTTAAATTATTAAACATGATAATAATCCGGCTGATGATAGTTCTCTTTTAAAGTTGTATTTTATAAAAAAAAAAGAATGTACCTACATGTATTACGTATATGTGTTGTTATCTCTATCCCTCACAGAAATGAAAACAACACTCCGCTGCAAGTGACTGGTGTTTTTATCGGTCGTCTTAATAATTTCTCCATGTATTGTTTATTTTTTTTATTTCTAGCGGTTTCGATACACGTAGAAGTCTAATGAACTTAACAGTAATTGTTTTCTTAAGTTAAAAACTTCAACATAACACGACAAAAGTGATAATATTTAGCCAACATTTTCTCATAACGGACTCACCCCGTCCTTCAACTTATAATTGCGTTAAGATGTTATTAGGGTGGTCCGCCTCAACCTCCCCCGTGTAATTTCTTAATCATGGGTAACGACACTCCGGGGGTATTATACCCTTATTTTATTTGTTACCGTGGGGATGTCTTATTTGTATTTAAAACAGTTGTTTTAAAGAAACTTTAGATGACTTAAAGCAATATGACTTATTTTTTTGAAGGCTATCAAATTGGATCAGTATTTTTTGTGTGTATGAACGCAATATCTTTGCCATTTGTTAAACGATTTCAGTAATTCTTTTGATAATTAAATTAGTATTTTTTCTTAATGACAGTCATGTATCAATTTTTTAGTTCAGGTTTGTCAACCTAAGACAGAAATGTCCATTATAGATTCAGAATAACTGAGTAACATGTACCTGTGTGTGTTTGTTGTTTTTTTCTTTCTTTCTTTCTTTCTTTCTGAAAACTTTCTAAAGTAGAATCTGTTTATCAACTGCTACCATATACACCGTATTTGAACAGTAACGGTCTCGTAGAAGTGGCTCAGAAGAAAGTAACAATAACTTATAATTATTCAACTGAATTATCACAATTATTTTCATAATTCCAATGCTAAGCCTGTCAGCTGCATTGCTGTAACAGAAGAAAGTCAATAATACACAGTAAGACAAGTTACTGATTACCCCACTTAGATGCTGAAAGTTCGTAGCGAAGGTAATTTAGTAGTACCATGTACAAAAGTGCAAAATAGAATTGAAAGTGTAGTTTGCAACTGTTACCCATTAAACAAAGAGGCGAGCTTGATGGATTGATGGAATGAAATGGATGAAAGATGTATTTTATTTAACGCATGATTTGACATGCAACTAAAATAAGAAATGAATATGTAATATGGAAAAATAACTTTCATATTTGATACGATGTGATCCAACTGCAGATATTTAAGTTTTATATATTGTTGTCCAGGCGGTTTATCATAGTTGTCAACACAGAATATGCGATTTGTAAAGGTAAAATGACGTATTTTATTGTACTTGTTGCTAATTTTGATTTATTTTATATTGTAATGAATCTGGTGATAATAATTTTATTTTATTTTTTGTTCTAATTTTAGTATTCCGACTTTATAATTGTGTATTTTTTATGATTTTTATGATTTTTACGATTTTTATGATGTTATGATTTTTATGATGTTATGATTTTTACGATTTTTATGATGTTATGATTTTATGACTTTATGATTTTATGATTTTATGATTTTATGATTTTGTGATTTTATGATTTTATGATTTTATGTTTTCATGATTTTATGATTTTATGATTTTATGATTTCATGATTTCATGATTTCATGATTTTATGATTTTATGATTTCATGTTTTTTTTGGATTTTATGATTTTATGATTTTTATGATTTTGTGTTTTTGCCTATGGGTTTATACCTGAAATAAATGATTATTATTATTATTATTATTATTATATATAAGAAACACGAACCAGTTACAAAATAACTAACGATGACTTGAGGTCTTCTCTATAACTGACGAAGACCAATTAAATCTTGTTAGATATCCAGCAAAATTAACTTTCCTTATAGTTTTAGCTTTTTTGGACTGTTTCGGATACAATCGTTCAACTTTTGTATGAGAGTAACTGCTGTCTGATTGCCTAAATATAATTTAAATGAATAACAGAATTACGTAATAACATATTTGAAAAAATATATTTATAGTTCTATGAAATAAGACTAGATATTGCGAGAAAGTATTAAGACTGAATAGTTTGATATTTGAACCTGAACTCTTCGTCCAAGTTGGACATAAATATGCTGACACCTCTTTTTCCTTCAGTTATGTTATATGAATGAAATTCGAGTGCGTAAAACAGAGCTTTATACATTAATTCTACTTATGGCTATAATTAATTTACAACATTCATACTGTGGGTAACTTTATTACTTGCATAATATTGTGTGCTCGTCAAATAAACACCTGCAATAAAAACGTGGCCTATTTTAAAAGTGATTATTAACGATTCTTGATGGCTGCCGACGGATAATAATGAAATCCTTTGATTAGACACTCTTTCAACCGTTACTAATAACTATACAGCTTAGTCTAGATTAGAAATAGTTATGTTAGTGAGAACCGAAGCATATAGGTAGTATAGACTTAGCTTTTTAATTGGTTTTTATTTATGCATTTAAACATTTTTTTAATTTAATCAGAAAAGTACTGAAGTCACTATTTTAGTAAAGACATGGCTTTAAAATTGCAGCCGTATTTCAATTGTTAACTATAAAATGTTATAATGAAACATTTTATTAATTTTGAGGTCAAACACTATGAATATAAATAAATCAAACAAATTCGAAGCAAAAACAGATACCCTGTTTTTAAGAGTCCCACTTTTCCAAATCACTTTCTTACTTCAATCATGACTCCACTCCACACACTCGTAAATCTCGCATGTTTATCTCAGACAGGACTTAGTAAAGTGTGAGTCATTATACCCGCGCGCAGCCATCAATCGCCGGCTTAATAGTCTGTATCTCACTTACTTTAATGACTAGATACGTTACATATCTAAGTGAAGAAAAATTTAAAACAAACACACCACAATACTAAGAAACTAGACCTTAATGTAATATTAGCAGAATTCATTTCATGGAATCTGTATGTTTTCATCTCATTCTGTATTGGTATTACAGGATCTACTATATATGATGGCATCTCTGTCGTTTTTATGGCCTCTCTCGGGCAAGGAAGTGTATCAGGAGGGATTTGCAGAACAGTCCTCTTAACACCCTTTTTGTTTATTTCATTGCCATCGTCTTTAGCCAGATCTCCTGGTAAAATTTTCTTTTCTGTAATATTCATTTTGTCATTCAAGGTTTCAATGGTTAGGCCAGCATGAAGGATGTCTTTGTTGTAATCGAGTTTGTTGTCGTCCAGCGCGTCTGGCATTTTGTTGTAAGCAGAACTCACGATTGGAGGATCCATTTTGCAAGTTACCCCGTCTAGAGAATCCTTCGTGTTTTGACTGTTGGTTTCGTTCCGGAGCGAATGCATCCATTTTAGTCTGCAGTCACACACGAAGTTATTTTCTGTAAAATAGTAAAAATGTATTAGTTAAACGTATGTCTTAAAAATATCTTAAGTTCCGTGATCAAAATTTATACCAGCAAAAATATCCCTAAGTAAAACTTTGATTATTTTTAAGAAAAAAATTAAATAATTGTAAAACTAGCTGGAAAGATTTAGAATAGTGTAAATTTGTTTGAACTACTTTCGTTAATAAGTTATGTAAAATGGAGGTCTAATCTAGACTAAACGAGTCTAAACTCATTTGCAATGAATTTGGAAATAAAAGGGACTGTACAACATTCGCCACTTCTATCCGTCCTCATTCTCTACAAACAAAGCATACCCTTAGGTATCATAAAAGAACGAACTTTGCAAGTATGTTAAAGTTATTAATAACATCTCAGTTTCTACACGTTTAATATTCATCGAGTATTTAAAGTTCATAAAACTTTGACATAAGGAAGTTTTATGCATTCATAATTACCTTCAAGTAGCAGATTACTGTTTTGTGGTTTTAAGTTGTCCAATATAGGTTTGATATTATCAAAAGTCAGTGCGTGCAGTTCGTTAGAGCGCAAATCTACAGAGTTCAACCCCCTTACGCCTTCAAAAAGCCCCGACGGGAGAGAGGCCAGTTTATTATCATCAAGGGACAACTTCCTTAACTGAGAAAGGCCATCAAACGCTCTCTCAGATAGGTACCTTAGATCATTCTTGCCCAAAAGTAGCTCTTGCAGGTTCCACAATTCAGCGAAAGTAAATTCCGTCAAGTTTTGTATTCGATTCTTTCTTAGGTCCAATTTCTTCAGATTAGCCAATCCGTCGAAAGTTCTTCGATTTAAATAGTATATGTTGTTCTTATTCAAATCTAATTCTAGGAGATTGAATGTATGTTGAAACGTTCCATTTCTTATGATAGATATATTATTCTTCGTAAAAACCAACTTTTGAAGTTTTGGTACGTCAACAAATGCCTCTGCATCGATTTCTATAATCATGTTATCTTCTAGGTTTATGGTAGTTATATTTGGTAAATGAGCAAAAGAGTATTGCTGTAAGGTCTCAATTTGATTTTGAGAGAGACCTGCCTCTTTAAGATTGGTTAAATTAGCAAAAGCGTAAGATATTATATCGACTATATTCCCATACTTTATATTTATAGATTTCAAGTGTTGTAAATATAATAGTGCTTTAGTAGGTATGTACCCTAAAGCGCCATCGACTCGGACGTTAAAAGACAAAGTTTGCAAAGTTGGTTGGGACGCAAAACTCTGCCAGATGTGGTCGTCCGGTGGTATGCCGCCGTTGAACACCCAACATTCCGCTTTGGTCGCATTCCTAGGTTCCCTAGTATTTTCACAGTAGCAGTGAACTTTGGAGTCTCTGTCAGTTATGTCACAAATATTTTTCTGGAAACCTCCACCTTTCTCTTTGGTGCGCCTTTTATTGTTGTCCCTGGCGTAAACGTTTATTGACATTTCATTTACGAGGGCGAAAGTGATCAATATGTAGATTACGCCGGCGATTCGTCTCTCCATTGTTATCTGTAACAAGCGAAAGCGATTATGTTAGAACAACGTGTTTGTTGAGATTAGGTTTAATTACGGTTTTGTTTATATGTAGATAGAATCGTTTTATTTATGTTACATAAAGGTAATTATTTCTTGGTATTTTGTAGTATTTAAATCTTAACTCAATTTATACATTTCAGTTCAGTTTCATCACCTCAAATCAGAATTATAAAAAAAAATACATATCGGAATTTGGGTATGGTATCGTTCTGATGCGTGAATGGCCTAAGGTCCGATCTTAGTCTTACTGGTAATTTATGTTTATAATCATTATGCAATATTGATAAATTTTTGCGAAATTATTTTTGTGTTCGGTTAGAATGGTCATAATTTTTATACAAATTTAAGGTACAGCTTTAAAGTCTTCTTTCTTATTTCCTGTAGGAAATTTTAAAAAAACGAAGTAGTCACGAACTCCATCCACCTTGCGTCATTTTGTATAAATAGGCATTAATATTAATTAAATATAATTTTATTGTGTTATAAATTTATATTTTAAGTGATATTTTTGTGATTTATTGTTATTGTGAAGACCATCTTTTGTATAGTGTAATTGGTTTTGTAACTCTGTTACAATGTCGTAATAGTCTCTAAAAGAATACATTTTCTGAATAACTTCCGCATACGTAACACATTTTGTTTATAAAAATGTAAATATTATATTACTAGGAAAGCTCCTCAAAATTATATGTTTGTTGAAAAATCCAAGACTTAATTTTCTACCTATATCTATCATCATCATCATCAACAGCCTTTATCAGTCATCTGCTGGACATAGGCCTCCCTTAGAAATGAGGTTTTCGCCTACTATACCACGCTGGCCAGACGGGTTGGTATAGGGTTTGTTTCAAGTTTTCCTTCTCTTTGCAGTGCTGTTGTCCCGCGCAGTTTGCTCCCTTAGTCGTCTCTTACGACACCCACGGGTGGTGACACTCCGTATTCTTAATTCGTCACCACACGGACAACCTATATCTAACCTAATATATTTAGGTAAATTAGTTATTTCAATGGTTGCTGTAGAATGATATCAAAAAATACATAAAAAATAAATGATACAAGTCAATACAATTACCAAGTACAGCAATAACAACACCTCAACACTAAAACGCTAACAGAAAATATCTCATAAGACAGTGAGGGTTATTATGTACTAAACCACATTAACCTCTAACCGCCATAACCGCTTTAATTAATTCCACATGCCGTAAACCGCATCCGTGAATAGACTCTTCACCATAATCTGATTAAAGCTGTTATCTTTATGGACATGTTTTATAATATTGAAAAATTCAAATAATTCCAAGTAATATTGAGAAATTCAAATAATTCCAAGACAATAATTGACGACTGGGTGGCGTAGTGGTTTGTGTAACGGACTGCTATTCCAAAGGTCGCGGGTTCGATTCCCGCTCAAGTTAAACATTTGTGTGCATGAACATTTGATGTTTGATTTGGTCTGGGTGTTTCTATGTAAAATATGTATGTATTTACAAAAAAAAAGTACATTTGTATTTATATCAGTTGTCTAGTACCTATAGTACAAACTCTGCTTAGTTTGGGACTAGATGGCGTTGTGTGTATGTGGTAGAGTATATTATATTATTATTATATATTATATTATTACAAAAATGTAATAAAATATGTTTTGTCATCGTAGGTGTTATAAGAGCGTTTTTTGTTTGTAATAATATAGGAGGAAAACCATCAGGCGGGTCACCTTCTTGTTTTTTTTTTTTTGTTGACGTGGTGGAAAATCCCTTCTAATCTCTGGCTCCTTGGGGATGTAGGAGTCAGTAGTATGTGGTGTTTACTCGAAGAAGGATCCGGCACATATCATTTCAGGTTCCCCAAGGATCGCCGATCCCGGAGCAAGCGGGTCACCTAATGTCACACAGTCTGAAGTGTTGATGATTTTATTTACTAAGCGATCAAATCCTTTCACATCACACATCATCATCATCAACAGCCTTTGATAGTCCACTGCTGGACATTTGCGTCTCCTTAGAAAGGAGGTTTTGGCCTACTATACCACGCTGGCCAGGCGGATTGATATTGGTTTTGTGTCAAGTTTTCCTTTTTTTTTGCAGTGCTGTTATCCCGCGTTGTTTTGCGCCCTTAGTCGGCTCTTACGACACCCACGGGCTGAATAGGGGTAGTGACATTTCGTATTCTTTAGCCGTCACTACACGGACGCAAAATCCATCAAATGATTATAATTTCTAGTTAATATAAACAATACTATAATCATTTTTATCTCAGTCAATTCAAAATACAGGAGTTTCTCATTTAACTGTTTCTTTCTTTCTTCGCCATTTTAATTTAATTTTTAATTTGGTTGTATTTAATGTTGACTATGAAGATTTTTAGGGGGAAAATTAAGATGAAAATATTTTAGATAATTTATCATGATTCAGATGCGGCTTCAGTGCACAGTGATTATTTAAAAAAAAATAATAATTACGTATTTAGATAAGACTTTTATATTTTTAAGTTTAAGTTAAGCTAAGAAATACAGCCATATCATAACATAAATTTGTCCCTTAAAAGAAAATAAAAATTTTAATGTACTACAATAAGTCTGTCAGCACAAAGATACATATATAACTGGCGTATTGTTTCACGGCATGGAGGGCAATTGAGAAGCAGTGCTATTCTTTAAGGAAACAGCCATGCGTACAGGGTTATTTCATCTGGGCCTGAACCGGTACGAGGACCAAAAGGACCACGATGGGGGAACTGGGGGGCGGACCATCACGGGCCCACGAAACAAGAGGGCCTCACTCTTATTCAGGGCCACCCGTAAGCCCAGCGCCTCAATGCGCCCCACTACCAGAGAGACTCCCCTAGTGGATAGGTGCGCGGCCTCTTGAAAGTCCGCCCGGGCTGTAACTAGCGTGTCATCGGCGTAACAAATAACGTCCAGGGAGAGGCGACCCCGAAGGAGCTAGTCGTAACCCATGTTCCACAGAAGCGGTCCGAGAACAGACCCCTGCGGAACACCGTGAAATTCGAAGCTACAGCGTTATTTTTTTTTTACGTGTGGAAACCCCCTCGGGCCGTCACCCCACCCTTGCGGCGGGGTGGTATGTCGGAATCGGACCGACTAAAACCAAACGGTGTGCCACTCTGCACCTGTAATAGAAGAGATCACCATCCTCGGGTACATACTCCATTCTCATGCTCCATTTCTTTTTCAGTCATAGACCCTATCCCCACATACACGTACTTACAATAAGTTAGTTATTTTTTATTTCACTTCCAAAATATTCACAAGAAATAATTTATATGGCATAACAACATTTGCGGGGCAGTCAGTTTGGTATATATGATTTATTTTCTCATGACTACTACACTATACACCCTCTGGATACGTAAACTATCAAGAGTAAATTAATTATTCTAAAAGTCTTTGGTGGAGTTGATCAACCTCCCAATCTAGTCAAAATTTAGGGTGTGAACATGTGCAGATACAACTGCACAGTAATCCTTCTGAAGCTTACAGAGATCTCAAAATGTAATTTAAATCACGAACGCATAATCTAAATGAGTTTCATACCATGAATGATAGACACTCAGAGAATTCGATTCAAATTCATTAAGTTGCTTAACAGGATTGATTTGATTTGCTTGTTTAAATGATATTCCAAAGTGATATTGTTCGTTAGATAATTATATTATTACCAAATTGACGATCGAAAAGTTTGAATAGGTATATTGTTATGTTTACCGTAGCTACAGTGTACACAGATGTTACAAAATGTGTGGAAGAGAAAAATTATATTCAAGAAATGGTTCGATAATATGAGCAATTGGTTTTTGCTTGAGAGAAATATGTTATAGCGTGAGGGGAATATTTCTCTAAGAAGGATGAGAGCCCATTCCTCTATTTTTACACCCTCGAAGCAGGATAGGGGGGAGTTACACCGGGCACGCCGTCATTGCGGCGGTAAGACCCGTTATGGAGGATTGGCTCGAGAGGCGTCACGGGACCCTCTCATACCGATTGACGCAGGTGATCACTGGGAAGGGATGTTTCGGAGATCACCTGTGTCTGATCCGCAAGGAGCCAACGCCTGAGTGCCACCACTGCGATGGCCAGACCGTGGACACGGCTCTCCACACGCTGGCAGAGTGCCCGGCATGGGTTGAGCAGAGGCGAGACCTCGTGGCGGCCATCGGAGTGGGAGTTCTCTCGCTCGATAGCCTGATTGCGGCTATCGTGCGGAGCGAGAGTGCGTGGAACTCTGCCGTCTCCTTCTGCGAGCAAGTTATGCTCGCGAAGGAGACGGCGGAGCGGGACCGGGAGAGGTTTAGAACTCTCCCGGCCCGCCAGGCCCGGGCACGGGCCAGGCAGCGCAGGCGACTCAGGCGCCGGAGGTCGCAGAACGACCTTCGTCCTCCATAAGCGCAGGCCTGGGGGTGACAGGTGAGGCCATCTGTCACCCTAGCAGAAGCAGGCCGGGGTGGCGGCGAGCGCGTTGCGAAGCGCGCTCGCTTTCAGGGAGCACAGGGAACATGGGGTTCCCACACGGGGCGGGGGTCGTCTACTCGTCTGTAGATGACCCGAGGTATGTCGGGGCACCAGGGCCTTCCTTTCTAGGGTATACCTGGTTCCCCGGCTATTAGTACCCGGCGAAGGCGTGCGGTTTTAGTCGGTTCGTGTCCGACATGCCACCGACAGGTGGTATCCGAGGGGATTTCCGCACGGGAAAAAAAAAAAAAAAAAAAAAAAGGGGGGAGTTACATCTCATACATCGTTCAAGCTCATTTCAAACATGCACGATTGGCTTAGTGGTCGGGACTAGGCTCAAAAATGTATAATCACTATATTATTAAATTCAGTTAGTACACTGGTGTCATAATGTTTCTATTCTAAATCTATTTTTAAAATGAAAGCTATTGTTGAATTTTTTTGCAAACATTTGTCAAGGGCAAGATGCCTCTTTTCCAATAAATAGATTTCAATC